TGACGTACTTGGTCCCTCGTTGGACCTACGAGGAAATATATTTTCGAAGAAATATGCACTCCTTGATTCTATTATCGTGTTCTCATGTACGTCCGGATTATGGGACTCATGTAATAAGAACCGATAAGCACTACTATTATGTGCATAGCCAATAAAGATACAGTCTACCGTCTTAGGACCTATCTTTACTTTCTTCGGTGTTGGTACTAAAACCTTGGCAAGACACCCCCACACTTTCAGGTACTGGTAGGAAGGTTTCCTACCGTTTCACAGCTCATAAGGAGTCTTATCGAGCTTCTTGCGGGGTACCTTGTTCAAAAGGTAATTACTTGTCAAAATCACCTCACCCCACATGCCTTGAGGTAGGCCCGAACTTATAAGCATCGCATTCATCATATCTTTCAATGTACGATTCTTTCGTTCGGCAACACCATTCGATTGAGGTGCGTAAGGTGACATACGCTCGTGTATGACACCTAGACTTGCACAAAAGTCACCAATAGGTGCTTCGTACTCACCACCTTGATCGCTTTTAACTTTCTTAATCTTTCGATTAAGTTGGTTTTCAACTTCATTCTTATAGAGAATGAATTTTTCCAAGGCTTCGTCTTTGCTTTTAAGCAAATACACATAGCAATAACGTGTGCTATCGTCGATAAACGTGATAAAATATTTATTACCACCTCTCGTTTGTATCGATCTAACATCGCACAAATCACTATGGATTAATTCTAGTGGTTCAGTTTCCCTTTCAACCGATTTGAAAGGTACTTTCATCAGTTTTGCCTCAACACAAATTTCACACTTGTTATTTGTGTTAATTTGAAAATTAGGAATATGGTTCATGTTAATTAATCTACGTATAGAATTATAATTAACATGACCTAGTCTACCATGTCACAAACTGGAAGACTCAAGCAAGTAAAAAGAAGTAACTTTGCTCTTATTCATGACAATAGGCATTACATTGAGCTTAAAAAGCCCATCAGTTACATAACCTTTGCCTACAAACATTCCTAACTTAGACAAAACAACCTTGTCTGACTCGAACACCATACGTAGGGGTGTTAGCGAACAGAGCTTTCGGCAAACTACTCGTGTTCGTGTTCGGTAAGCGTTCGTTTATGTTCGTTTGTTAAGGTAAACGAACATTAACAAACAAAATTTAGAGCTCGGTTAATAAACGAACAGAGCTTGAACAATTGTAAGCTCGTTTGCTAAGAGATCGTGAACAAGCTCGTTTGTGTTCGTTTAATAATGTTCGTGAACAAGCTCGTTTATGTTCGTTTAATATTGTTCGCGAACAAGCTCGTTTAGTGTTTGTTTAATAATGTTCGCGAACATGTTAATAAGGGTAATAAGGTAATTTTATTGTCTTAGGGTTTTTAACTCATCCAGTCCTCGCAGCCATCCTCATTCCTCCATTCTGCCAATTCCTCCCTACTCTTCTAGTAGGGAACTAGAGAAGTTCGCAACAGGCAGCGAAGCCACCAACCCACCAACCCACCACCGCCGGCGACGTCTGCCGTAGCCACCATCACCATCGCTTCCGCTAACCCTTAACCACCGCCATAGCCACCAACCCATCATCACCGCCGCCGCAGCCTCCATCACCGCCGGTGACGTCCACGTACCTAGTACCGTGAAGCAGACCGAAGCCACGTCCACTACCGCCGAACCCACCACGTACCTGGTATTCTCCACGAGGATCTGAGCTCTTTTACTTTTATTTATTTTTATGTAATTTTGTTTTTCTATTATGCCCTTTCTTCTTTGTTAGTTTTTCATCTCAATTTCTAGTTCCTGTGTACACAATTTCTAGTTTACTTGATTCTCTCATTCACGTAAGCATATTCCTTTTTCCTTCCTGTAATTTGAAGGGTTAGGGTTCATTTGAAGGGAATCATGAATCAGTAGTGGATGAAATAGAGGGATCGACAACATTAATTGGGTATGAATTTGTGCAAAATATGTATGTGAAGTATTGTTGTTTGTTTTCTGGATCTGAAGCTAAAAAGGAGTAATATATTTGTTTGTGTCTGTGTATGTATTATTTTTTTATATATAATATCAAGTAGCATACATATATATTTGTGATTATGGGTATATGTGTGTGATTATATAATTGATTTTGGGATTTCTGAGTTTTCTACAAATGTATATGAAGCAGCACAATGAGGTGGAGCTATCTGGTCTTGGAATGGGTAAAATGATTGAATCGATTGTGAGAAGCTAAAGTACAAGCAGCAGGAACCCGAAGATAGAATTGGGAACCAAGAACCAGACTATAGAATTGGGAAGTATGTAGCAAAGTTCTGTTATCCAAAGTGGGCTTTAGAAGCCTTTGTCACTGCAAATGCTGAAAGGTTTACTTTCTTTTTTGCTAAGGTCTTTAATTATTTTTCACCCTTAACTAGCTATGAGCTTCTATTTTGATTATGGTTTGTGTTTAGATTCTCCGGTGTTTGGCTGATAAATCGTTGTGGGAATTAGAGATGAGATCTATTGTTGGTTTCTAGCTCAGAAGAAAATGAATCATAATTAAACGCCTTAACCGAATCAGGGTATTCACAGTGATAAGTTCATCTATTCTTGATAAATGACAGTTGCTATTGAAATCTAGTAAATATCTACAATGATGACAATAGTTTCTATTTGGCAAACAATTTTTGGTGAGTTCATATGCTGCATCCCAGAGCTGCTTTACCCATTTTTGAGATAGATAGAAAATGCAAGATGCGGAATCTACATCTTAACTTGAATTTACTTTTGATGATTTTGGCTTGTAAGATTAACAAAGAGTTTGCGTATTCTTTTAATCTTGTTTTTATTATTTTTATTTATAGTTATGTTGTTTATTTCAATTATTTGGTTATTGTTTGTGAACGTGTTTGTGAACAAGTTTGTTAACATTAATGAATATGTTCGTGAACGTGTCATGTTCATGGACGTGTTCATTAACGTTATTGAACATGTTCGTGAACGTGATTTTTAACGAACATGTTCGTGAACGTGTTTGTTAATGTTAACGAACACGTTCACACACATGTTCGCGAACGTTAACGAACACTAATAAACGATTAACAAACGAACACGAACAGGATTTTCAAAAAGCTTAACAAATGAACACGAACACGAACAGGATTTTCAAAAAGCTTAACAAATGAACACGAACACGAACATCCTAAAAAGCTTAGCAAACGAACATGAACAGCCTCTGTTCGTTTATGTTCGGTTCGTTAACAGCCCTAACCATACGGAATCCATGCTTGTTCAACAGCGAGCCAGACACCAGATTCTTCCTCAGCTGAGGAACATACAGCACGTTGTTCAACGTCAGATCCTTCCCGGAAGTCATCATCAGAACCACCTTGCCCACGCCTTTCACAACAGACTGAGCAGAGTTTCACATCCACACCTTCTCGCCCTCGACGATCTCAAAGGTGTTGAACATCTCTCGGTTGCAACACAGATGCCTTGTTGCACCAGTATCGATGAACCACTCTCGTGGGTTAGAGTCCACGAGGTTCACCTCAGTCACCATAGCCGAAAGGCTAATCTCGACCTCCTTCTGACTACTTTCTTCAACCATGTTGGCTTCAGAACTCTTGTTCTTCTTCTTCGGAACTTTGCATTCAGAGGACTTGTAGCCAGACTTTCCACAATTGAAGCATTTTCCATGAAACTTCTTCTTGGTAATGCCTCCATTCGAACCCAGCTTTCGCTTGTCCTTTATGTTCTTCTTGGAAGGAACACTCTCGGATAAGAACCTTGCCAAGCTGAGACTTGCTAGGTAGAACAACATCTTTTGTTGCCATCGCTTGAAGTTCGATCCGACACCGGTGAACTTCTCCCGCTTTTTAGCCGAACCGCTCGGTACCAAAGGTACCGGAGTCATGGGAATGTATCCCTCGGTGCTCCCACCATCTTGTGAACCAATGTTCATTGGTGGTGCTTGGGAATTTGCAACATTGTTGCCATTCCCACCATTGTTGTTCTCAACAACATTTTCCTCCCCATGAATTGGCAAAGCAAGGTTCTCCATTTCTTCAAGGAAATTAGGAGAAAACAACCAACAGGAGATAAGGTTTTAAGATTTTTGGGTAAATAAGGTGGAAAATCCCAAAAATAATAATCCTACGGAAAGACAATTATTATATGGGAAAAACAGAAAAAATTGGGAAGGAAAAAGAGGATGATTTGGATAGCAATTAGCACGAGTTTGAACAAATCGTTCTTTCCTTAAAACCTTATTTGCTACCTCCCACAAGTGCTAGGAGCGTTGTAGCCTAGGTTTCCCAGGATAAAACGTGCTACGATTCTTTGTTTGAGCACCCAAACAAAGAACCCGGCAAACAAAGCAAAGTATGAACACTGTTAGCTAAAGAAAGAGAGTAGAAGCAGAGTTTTGGGGCTGAAAACATAGTGGAATTCCTTTGTTTCTTGTACTGTGTAAAATGCTACTGCTCTACCCTCTCTTATATAGGGGTGTTGGAGTGATAGCATTCATCATGGCAATTAATTGGTATTAAAACCAATTGTGTAACACCTGCAACAGCCATGACCACTAACTAGGATTAAACTCAAATTTAAAATTAGAATTAATAGAAAATTAATTCCAAAACGGTTGAATTTAATCCTGAACGGTCACTGCCAGAGAGGACGAAACGTCCTTACCAGAGAAGGAATCTGGTTGCAGAACTGTTCAGTTTCGGCCTTGAGGCCGAAACTTTGAGCTGTTAAGTTTCTGCCTCAAGGCCGAAACTTGTGGTGTTCAGAAATGAAATTATTGCCTAAATTGTAGATATAGCATTGCTCAAAAGATGACAAGTCATAGCCCTAATTAGAAGATAATAACAACATTACTAGGACAATTTTCCCAATGTAAAATTGACTTGATATTGATTTAAAAGTCAATTGTTATTTGTCCAATGAAGTGTTTAGAATTCTGATTGAGTTGATTCATGAAACGCATACATTATTTATACACAGAGAGTTACCAGAAAGCTACCTAAAGAATAGGAAACTACCCAAGGAAAGCTATAACATCCCATAACTATCTAACGGTCTAATATGTCCAAATTCAAGTTTATTGATGAATCTAATTTAATATAGAAATTATTTCACATGAGTTTTGGACATTGAAATAACTCTCAAATCTTAGTGTTTTTTTTTTGAAGGTCAATCTTGCGATTGTATTAATGAATCAAAGCCGAAATAGCGTCAAGTGGGATAGCATCCCAGTACATAGTTTGATCCTGTGTAAAAGCTAACGAAGCTAAAGTATGCGCATGTAAATTAACCTGTCTAGAGATGTAATCCAAAGTAATACGATTAAATAAAGACATAAGTGTTCTGTATTGGTCAATTGTGACCCCAACGTACGAATGGGTCGGCGTGTGTTGGTGCCGGATAATCGTAGTCAATTCCATGCAATCCGTGAGTAAACTTACTGATGTGTTGTTCCGTTCAAGTAACCAGGACAGTGCTTCCTTGTATGCCTGGGCCTCCGCCATAAGTGGTGAAAAACAAATCGGTAATTTGCCATTCCTTGCTGCCACAAAAGAGCCATCTGGCGCTATAATCAACATGTCGTACGTAGCCTCGCCTGTGTCGTGTCGGTAACCCGCGTCCACATAACACCGTAGACCGCCCTCCCTTGGTTCGGTTAAATGCTCTGAAGCCGTTGCCGGCTCGGTACGGCTGGCCTGGGCAGCGCTGTATGCCTGTAGCGCTACGGTTGCTGCTCTGGCTAACTGGACAGGCTGCGTCGTTGATCCCTTCCACACAGCTGAATTCCGGGCTCTCCAGATATAATATAATATTGCTACCATCACCTGGGTCTGCTCCTCCGTCAAGACCGCCATAGCCCCTTTTAACCATGTTGTAAAAGAGTCTGCAATAATATTAGTGATAGGCAATTGTGTTATATTCCATACAAGTCTAGAATATTCACAGAGCACTAAAGCATGTAACACATCTTCATGATCTAAACCACACATTGGGCATGTTGGGTCCACCTCCACCCTTTTAAATATCAAGTTAATGGTTGTTGGCAAAATGTCACATATGGCTCTCCACAAGAAAGTTTTCCATTTGGGGGGACTTTTACTTTCCACATTGTAATCCATTTATTGAAAATCGCGGGATTATTTTCATAGTCACCCACAATACGCCTATAGGCATTCTTGACCGTATATGTCCCCTTTGGGTCACTCATCCAATACCATGAGTCTTCGTAATCAAGACTAATAGGGATTACATTTATTCGCTCCACATTCTCAGGAATAAACAAGTCAGATAAAATATGTGGATCCCAGGTAAGAGTCTGTAAATCAATTAATCCTGCAACCCGTGCCTCCCTCAATTGTTCTAGCATTTCTGTTTGAATCAATGGGCTAGGATTATCTCGTAACCACGGATGCCCCCATATTAAAGTTGTCTGTCCATTCACAATCCTCCTTCGCACCCCTGAGACTACCATTGCATGGGCTGCCATTATACTTCTCCAATAGTAACTTGGGCAATTGCCAATAGTTGCATCTGTAAAACTGGTTGTGGGATAATACCTTGCCTTATAGATTTTAGCTGCGAGTGTTCCTGGGTCCGTCAAAAAACGCCATGCCTGTTTTCCTAGCATAGCTAGATTAAAAGCCCTTAGCTGTTTAAAACCCATACCACCATACTTTTTTGGTATGCACAACCTGTCCCAAGCCTTCCAATGTATTCCCCTGTCTCTTCCATTCCCCGCCAATACTTATTCATAGTTCGCTCAATTGACTAACAAACAGTCTCAGGTAACAAAAAGACGCTCATTGAATAGGTAGGCATAGATTGCGCTACACTTTTCAACAATACTTCCTTACCAGCCTGAGAAAGTAACTTTTTACTCCACGAACCAATTCGTTGCCTGATCCTCTCCTCCACATATGAAAAAACAGCTCTCTTATTTCTCCCTACAAAGGAAGGTAGGCCCAAATATTTCCCAAAATTGGGTGCTTGCACCACCCCAGACAATCCGCTACCTGTGCCCTGTCATTCTCCTGGGTATTTTTGCTAAAACATATATTAGATTTATTATAATTCACCACCTGGCCTGACAATTTCTCATACCTTGCAAGGCACTGCCTTATAACTCCCGCCTCCTGGATATTTGCTTTAAAAAATAGGAGACTATCATCCGTAAAAAATAAGTGTGATACAGGCGGTGCCCCCCTTGCTACTCTGCATCCATGTATAGATCCTGCCAACTGTTCATACTGTAATATCATCGAGAGAGCCTCTGCACAAATAATAAATAGATACGGAGAGAGAGGGTCTCCCTGCCTGAGTCCCCTGGTTGGTTTTACACGCCCCCTGCTATACCATTGACCATTACAGTATAACTAACAGTCGTTACACACAGCATAATGAGCTTTATCCACTTCTCACTAAAACCCATAACAGTCAGCATCCTTTTTAGAAAGTTCCACTCCATTCTGTCATAGGCCTTTGACATATCTAGCTTCAATGCACTCCAACCCACTACACCACACTGCTTTCTATTTAGATAATGCCCCACCTCTGCCGCTACCAAGATGTTGTCAGTGATTAGCCTTCCCGGGATAAAAGCACTCTGGGATTCTGATATTAATCCTCCCATTAGTGTTTTCATCCTATTTGCTATCATCTTGGCCATAACTCTGTAAATGACATTACTCAACGCAATCGGCCTTAAATCTGCAACTGTCTCAGGCATCTCTTTCTTAGGGATCAAAACAATGTTAGTATCATTTAATCCCTCGGGGAATACACAGGAATTCAACGCATTTGTTATAAAGCCAGATACATCTCCTCCCACTATCTCCCAAAACTGCTTGTAGAAACCTGGGTTTAACCCATCCGGACCCGGTGCCTTATCCGGATACATTGAAAAAAGAGCCTCTTTAACCTCATCAGTTTCAAAAGGGAGGTCTAGCATCATACTCTGTTCTAACGTGACTCGTGGGGTTAGGACCCCAAATAGCGGATCATCACAGCTCAATCCATTAGAGGCAAAAATATTGTCAAAGTAATTCAGTATAGTGGAATGCATATCATCCCCCTCCACCCAGTTACCAGCATCACATTTAATACTAGAAATAAAATTCTTTTACCTACGTGCAGAGGCATACCTGTGATAGAATTTTGTGTTTGCGTCAGCCCCGCGTAGCTAGTGCTGCTTGGCTCGCTGCCTCCAAAACACATCCTCCTAGGCCTCTATTCGTTTCAGGGAATTCTCAATCTGCTGGTACTCAGCTAGCGCCACACAATCTCGCCTATTCTGTATGGCATCTTGCCTCTGCTGTAGCTGGTTAATTCGTTTTCCAAATTTATGAAACTGGTCCCCCCCCCCCCCCCACCGCATTAACTTCTCCCCACACAACTACTGACAATGCAGCAATCCCTCCGTTTTCCCCTCATGCCAGGCCGCTTCTACTACTTCTTTGCACCCCTCATCTAACAGCCAAGCCATCTCAAACCTGAATCTCCGCGGCCCCCTTCTCCTTGGCATGCAAATCGCATTAATACTGAGGAAAAGGATCGAGTGATCCGAAGCCCGGGTTCGAATGTTCTCTAACCATGCATTCTCATTCATCAGACCCCAATCATTCGTTATTAGAGCCTTGTCCAACCTTTCCTCTATCCAATTCGGCGTCCCCTTTCCTTTTTGCCACGTATATTGGTGACCTCTCATTGGCATTTGCATCAAACCACAGTCACCACAGCATCTCCGAAACCCCGTAACAGACTATTAGGATACGGATTTCCCCCCTTCTTCTCAGCCTGATATAGAAGATTATTAAAGTCCCCTATCACCACCCAGGGCAACAAGGATCTATCCTTCAGAGTGCGAAGTAAATCCCATGTCTCCTCCCGCCTATTTCGTTCGGGGATACCATAGATACATGTCATGCGCCATAACCTATTAAACAAGCTTACTTCCACATCAATATGACTCTGCGAGTAGCTTAATAGTCTTACCGTATTATTCTTCTTCCATAAAAGCGTCATTCCTCCACTCAATCCATCGTTATCAACATAAAACAAACCCTCATACCCAAGCGTAACACGGATCCGTTCTGCATGTACCCGTGGCACCTTTGTCTCCATCAAAAACACAAAATCAGGCTTCTTACTGGACGCTAGGCCCACAATCTGTCGAACTGTTCGTGGATTGCCCAAGCTCAAATCTTAGTGTTTAGACAAAATGATAGTGCCTAATTTTTTTTAAATGATTTTGCACAAAAGGTAAACCAGGAGCACTAATTTTTATCAGTAACCCATTGGCCCGAACCCTTGATATTGAATATTTGATTAAAAAGAATCCACATGCCCTAAATCAATCCCCTAAGGACTGCGATGCTCAATAAATTCTAATCTTCATATTGACTAAATATGAGATTGCGGGATGTTAGATCCTTCTCTGAAAATGACTTGTACAATAGGGGGTGTTTGGATATTGGCTGATCAGCCATTTTTTAGCTGATTTGACCAATTTTAGCTGTTTGACTAGGTCAAACCGCTAAAATTAGTGTTTGGTAAAATAGCTTGTTGGTATAGCTGATTGGAACAATAAGCTAATTTTCAAAATGCTAATAGGGCAGCGGCGTTTCTATAGTAGCTGATTGCAATTAATTCAAAATGTTAAAATTATCCTTTCTCTAAGACTTCTCTGTTGAATTGTTTCATACCTTCATCTGGTAAATTATCCTACTCCATCGCAAAGCCCAACAGTAGTAAAGTTCTTTTTCTCATGCTTTCTCCATCAATTGTCAATGCCTTCTCCGTCCATTGTCTGTCTAATGTTATGTACTTTATCAAATTTTGTTTTTAGTATTTTGTCTGTCTAATGTTATGTCATATTGTTTAATTGTGTTATTATTATTATTATTTATTGCCATGCATCACACGAGTGCAAATACTATAATTAATAAAGTGGAAAAGGGATGAGAGATTTAATATAATTAATTATATATTGGTCAGGGCAAGGAATTCGCAGCATTATATTTCTCCAAGCCAGGTTGAAGTAGTGAGTCAAGGAATTTGCATTGTAGAATTTCTGCATGCACCACATCGATCTTGCAATAAGCTAATAAGCTAGTTGTGGTTCAAGGAATTGGCAGCATTATATGCCTCTAGCTTAGCCTCCATGTGGAGGATAAGGGCGGGTTTCGTGTCATGCTGATATGATCTTCCTGGTTACTCAGAAAGACCCGAGCTAACTAGCTCTTATACCATTTGTAATGAACCATCTAGTGAACGGGAAAAGGGAAGAGGAAGAAAAAGGAAAGAAGAAGTGCAGATCAGAGAGGGTCGAGAGAGAATTGATCAGAGAAAAAGCTAGAAATAGCAATTGTTATTAATTTCCAAGCCCAATATAATCTCATCAGGTAAAATCTCTATTTCCTATTTATACTAACTAAGATAAAGAGAGAAAAGCTAGGAAAAATATCTAATAACAACTAACTTATCAGCAACAAACAAATTAACTATCTCTCTGATTATTACTGCTTCAATTCACCTCAGCTCTTTGGGGGTTACATAATTTGCAGCATTTGCAGCATTTTTGCACTACTTCTTCTCGCCGGACTCCTCGGTGATTGCCACCATTTGAGGGTGAGGGAGCGCCGCCTCTTCGAAATCCAATGCACGGACAACATCCGCTACTACTACTACTACTATTATTATTATTATTATTATTATTATTATTATTATTATTATTATTATTATTATTATTATTATTATTATTATTATTATTATTATTATTATTATTATTATTATTATTATTATTATTATTATTATAGTAATGATAACAATGATAAGAATCTCCTGCCGCCGGTGTGCCATCATTCGCAAGATTTGCCTTCATATCATTCCATTTTGTTATAATAATATTATTATTATTATTATAATTTAATTAAACCAAGTATGTGGGAGTTGTGGCAATGCATGCAGATTGAGGATGCAGTAAGTGGGTCATGACTTTACAATACATGGAGCATGCATCTCCTAAATTTATGCTTTACTAGTTTTGTATTCACTATAAATAGGCTTGTTATTAACCATTTTAAATCATCAATTTGAATTACAAAGCATTCTTTCCTCTCTCTCCCTCTTTCTCTAATATATATATATTATATATATATATATTATAGATATATTATATTATATTTAATATATATTATATTAAATATATTATATTTAATATATCTAACATTTGGTATCAGAGCCAGTCAACCTTTCAACCCCAAGGTATTTTTCATAGTGAATTATGGCCACAAATTTCAATATTGTATGGTCGGGTCCCAAATTGGACGGGAACCTCGATTACAATTATTGGCAAATTATGATGTCCACACATTTGCAAGCTCAAAATCTTTGGAGCTTTGTTGATCCCGGTCTACCCGAAGGAGCTGATGTAGGCGCTATACGGCGAGATAAATTGGCCTTGGGTCAGATTCACCAAGGTGTTCATTATTCCATTTTTGAGCAATTAGCTCATGCTCAAACAGCAAAACAAGCTTGGGACATCTTAAAGGTGTCACACAAAGGAGTTGATCGGGCGCAGAAGTCTAAGTTGCAGTGGTTGAGAAGGTTGTACGATAATTGTGAGATGACCTCTACAGAAACAGTAGATGCGTATTTCACTCGTCTTATTGATATGGTGAATAAGATGAGGCTATATGGAGATACGATTGAAGATGGTGCAGTGGTTGACAAAGTTCTTCGAACTATGCCGATGAAGTATGACCATGTGGTGGCTTCGATCACAGAGTCACACAAAACTGAGCTCTTATCAATTGCAGAGCTGAAAGGTATGGTAGAAAGTCATATTGACAGGATTGCGTCAAAATCGGAACCACTAGCAGAAGAAGCTTTGAAGAGTCAAGTCACCCTTAATGTGACTAGCACTAATCAAAGAGGTGGAGGATCTGGTAGAGGTCGTGGAAGAGGAAGAGGAGGTTCTAGTGGAAGAGGTCGTGGTAACTTCAACCAAGGAGGAGGACGTGGTAACTCCAACCAAGGAAGAGGTGGAGGTAATACCAAACAAGGTAAATTTCCATTTCATTGCTACAATTGTGGCAAGTATGGGCACAAGATTGCGGATTGTTGGTATAATGAGGACAACAATCGTGGAAATCAAGCAAACATTGCTGAAAAGTCTGGTGAGAGTTCTGAAACTTTACTTTTAGCCAGCGATAGTTTTTCTGCAGATAAGAACATATGGTTCTTGGATACTGGGTGTAGTAACCATATGTGTGGGAAGAAAGAATTGTTTTCTGAACTGGATGAATCAGTTCGGTCTGAAGTGACATTTGGCAATAAGTCAAAGGTGCCAATTTTGGGAAAAGGTAAAATCTCTATTCAGTTGAAGGATGGTACTCACAATTTTATATCTGATGTGTTCTATGTTCCTGAACTACACCAAAACTTGTTGAGTATGGGACAGTTGTCAGAAAAAGGATATAAGATGGATATTGCTCAGGGGTGTTGTACCATTGCAGATGCTAAAGGAGTTTTGATTGCAAAGGTAAATATGTCTCAAAATCGACTATTTCCTTTGAAAATTAAGCATACTCTCCTTGCTTGCTTTAATTCTGAAGTTTGTGATGATAATTGGTTATGGCATATGCGGTTTGGGCATTTTCATTTTTCTGGATTACACTATCTTGCGAGAAAGGAACTTGTTTCTGATTTACCTGTTGTGAATGTCCCTAATCGTATCTGTGAGATTTGTGTGATTGGGAAGAAGCATAGAGATCCCTTTCCCGTGGGCAAGTCAAGGAGAGCCACAAAACAGTTGGAGATTGTTCACTCAGACCTGTGTTCGTTGGAGGTTCCCTCATATGGAGGTTGTAAGTACTTTATTACTTTCATTGATGATTTTAGTAGGAAAACATGGGTTTACTTTCTGAAGCAAAAGTCTGAAGCATGTGATGTTTTCAAACAATTTAAGGCTTTTGTTGAAAAGCAAAGTGGTTATGAAGTTAAAATCTTGAGAACTGATAGAGGTACAGAATATATTGCTTGTGATAATTTTCTTAAGGAAAAGGGTATTCAGCACCAAATGACAGTCAGATACACTCCGCAACAAAACGGAGTGGCTGAGAGGAAGAATAGGTCAATCATGGATATGGTGAGGTGCATGTTGAAATCTAAGGATCTGCGTAAGCCTTTTTGGGCAGAAGCTGTTACTTGTGCTGTCTATGTGTTGAATAGGTGTCCAACTAAAAGCGTCCGTGATAAGACACCCGAAGAAGCGTGGAGTGGGAGAAAACCCTCTATCAAATATCTCAAGGTTTTTGGATGTTTGGCATATGCACATGTACCAAATCCGTTGAGAAAGAAGTTGGATGATAAAGGTGAGAAGTGCATATTCATTGGTTATAGTGACGCTTCAAAGGCTTATAAACTCTACAATCCTGAAACTAAAAAGGTTGTTATAAGTCGTGATGTCACTTTTGATGAATATGGTGCTTGGGATTGGTTAGCTAAAGATGAAAGTTCAGTTGTTATTCCTGTTGTTGAAAATATTGTTGATGAGCAACCGATTCCAAATCATGTCCAGTCTCCTTCACAGCCAGAGTCGTCAGTTCGGCGATCTCAGCGCGAGCGCCACTTACCGGCTCGCTTGCAAGATTATGTTTTGGGTCATGATAATGACCTGTCTGATGAAGAGATTGTTCAATTTGCTCTCTTTGCAGATTGTGATCCTTTAACTTTTGAGGAGGCTGCTACAGAAACTCATTGGCTTAAGGCGATGGATGAGGAGATACGTGCCATTGAAAAGAATGGTACCTGGGAGTTAACAGATTTACCTCCTGGAAAGAAGCCAATTGGAGTGAAGTGGGTTTACAGAACGAAGTACAAGTCAAATGGAGAAATTGACCGTTTTAAGGCACGGTTAGTAGCAAAGGCTTACAAACAGAAACCAGGTATTGATTATTTTGAGGTTTTTGCTCCTGTAAGTAGACTTGATACAGTTCGAATGGTTATTTCTCTTGCTGCTCAAAATGATTGGAAATTGCATCAAATGGATGTCAAGTCTGTTTTTTTGAATGGTTTTCTTGAAGAAGAAATATATGTTGAGCAACCTGCAGGATTTCTGAAGAAAGGGGAGGAAAATAAAGTGTACAGGTTGAGAAAAGCCTTGTATGGCTTAAAGCAAGCGCCTAGGACGTGGTATGGTTGCATTGACTCATATTTTGTTGAAAGTGGTTTTATGAGATGTCCTCATGAACACACTTTGTATGTCAAATGCACTTATTATGGTGATATTGTTTTAATCTGTCTGTATGTTGATGATCTGGTTTTTACTGGAAACAACTTGAAGCTAATCTCAGAATTCAGGGAGGCACTCATTAAGAGGTTTGAAATGACCGATATGGGCCTTATGTCTTACTTTCTTGGCCTTGAGGTTATTCAGATGGATGGTGGAATCTTTATTTCACAGAAGAAGTATGCTGCTGATATTTTGAAAAAGTTCAAAATGGAAAACTCCAAACCAGTTTCGACTCCGTTAGCTG